GGGCGCCGCCCCCTTTGGCCTCCCTCCCCCCGCTTTGTATCCTCGAGGCTCCCCCCACAGCGAGCCACTCCCCCCGAGGCTCTCCTCACGGGGCCCCTTCCGTGTCGTGTTCCGGGCCCTTTCCCTCTGCAGCCCCCGCAGCCCATGGGGCCCTGTCTCGCTCCCCTGCAGCACATCATTGGAGCCTTGCCCTGCCGTGTCCTGGTTCCTCTGAAGCCCTTCCGCCCAGATTCCCTCCACCGGCCCCACTGCCCTAGACCCTCTTCCCTGGAGGGTCTCCTGTCAGGTTTTGCTTCCTTCCTCCCACCCCCCCAATCTTCCTCTTCTCCAAGGGGGCCTTCTCAGGTCCTGGTTCCCAACTTCTCCAAGGCTCCTTCTGCCATCCAAGCCTCCACACAGGGACCCTGGTCTGTTTCTGTCTCCTCCTAACCTCTGCATATCCCCAACCTCTATCCTATGGTGGTTACAAGCTTGCTCCCATGTTTCGAGACTCCACACAAATCTATAGTCCTGGTTGTGGGTGCCTCTATCAATTTCCATACACCGTTGCCCTCTTAATTGAGCCGGGGTTGCCTGCAGGCTCCCTTAATTCCAGCTGCTGCACTTGGTCACCCGTGTCATTCTGGGTGCCACCCATCCTCAGCCATTATAGGTAGCCCCACAAATCCAGTTCCCAGTCTCCACACATGCACTCACACATACATGCTCCAGGTACACTCTCACATTCTTGTCCCCTGCCTTTTCCCACAGAAGACCCCCCCTCAGTGTTGTTCCAGATGTATGGCTCTTGGGTTCTCGTCTTGGGTATCTTCTCTTTAGTCTCTGCCTCCCCTCCCATATCTCTAGTCCCAGGCAGGGCATCCCCTTCCCCTTGAACTCCAGCCTCTGCTCCCACATAGGGATGTTAGCGAGTAGTCAACTACACGATATAAGCATAAGCAAGCGGGGGAGACAGTAACTGGTGCTGGGGGTAGCCGTCTTAAAAGTCGGTTCCCCGATCACCATCTCTGTGGTGCTGCTCCTCCCCTGCTGCTTCTATCATAGGCAGCCTGGTGGCTCTTACTACATTTAAAATGCAGAGTCACAGCATGGGTGGCTCATGGAGCTGGCAGGAGCCAGGACTGCTCAGTCCCAGCTCGAGCCAGCTCCTGGAGCTATCCCTGTTGTGGCTGTGCAGAGGAGTCCTTATCGAATAATCGTGTAGTTAATACAGATTGTGTTGAC